TCTGATAGAATGGGATCTCTGTATGCACATGATTTGAACAAATTCAAACAATCAAAATCTTTTTTCGATTCATGAATTTTGGGATATATTTCATTGACGATATTTATTCATTATTTTATTCTTCGCATATAAAGTGCTTCATCACTCGCATAAATCAGACAACATGGCCAGAATTCTTTCAGAACTACTAATTCAGAAAAATCTCTATGACTTTTCTCAGTTAATATTTATTTCATACACACTTTGCACTCCAGATTCTTTTTGATTTCCCAGTTTGGGAGAAAAATCGACGATATTGATGCTGTTGAATGATGACTAATTATTTCCTCTCTTTCAGGAAATTCTGTTGAATTCAGTGATTCATCTTCCTCTAAACATTTCCCCATTGCATAACTTCCTTCACCAGATACTTCTAAGATTTGAATAACTGCTGAAATTTCCAAAAGTTGTCGAACCTGCCGCAGCCGGAGTTGATTAAAAACATTTTCAAGGCGATCTTGGCTGAATCTGGAGGTCATTTCGAGAATTTAATAGCGAATCTTGAATATCCAAGATACTCTGGGTTGGAAGAATTACTCCACATTGAATTTGTTTTCATTGAACCCTTTTTGCCCCAATTTCTGAATGTCTGAATAACTCGATAATTTCATTGAAAAAGCATATGATTTCTGAGTGAACAACTTCTTTGAACTTGCTCAAAGCTGAAGTTCTTGTCCGTGATGTTGAAAGAAAAACCACCTGAAAATAATTGCAAGTAACAAACCGAGCAGTGGTTTCAGAGTTTCCGTCTATAGAACTGCATGTAGGTTCATCACTCAAAAAATTGAAAACAGCATAAATATCAGTATTGACGGTATAAATGCATTTGATAATTTTATTTTGTTAGAATGATCCAACTTAATCAAATCTATAGTTGATTTTGATGCAGTTTTCGCATCTTCGCCTTTTTGGAATTCTGCAAATTTTTTTATGTATCCGAAATCAACGATGTTTGTGGGGAGATTATATTTCCGAACGAATTTCTCAGATATCCTGAAATCTTCATTCGTCTTCACGTCTGCTATGAGAGAAATTGTATTTCCAGTTTCAGGGAGCACAATAAAATTTTGTTAACTCTTTTTACTGGATGTAGTGCCAACATTTTTCTCCACATGGATTGAATTGTGGGACCCATATCAGAGGTTATGCTAATTATGTTCAAATCAATGCGATAACAGTATACCGAAATATAATTGATGAAATCCGCTGAAATGTTACCAGACACTGCATTCCTGGTGAAATGATAGCCAATAGTTTGTTTGCATCTCGATGTTATTCTACCTTACATAACAACAAGGACATGAGTACATTTTCACCAGAATTTTGAATAGTTTCGAACACAAAGGTTAGACATACTATATGCTTGCCCAGGAGTTATAGCCATTTCATCTTATAGATACAACAATATCGTTCCACTTCCGGGAAGTTTTTTACTTTAATTTTCAAATTCTCGAGAGTTTCTATCAAATTTTCCAGTTTGAAAGTTCCAAACGGAGGAAAGAGGAAACTTCATTTTCAGCAGGTGTAAATAGCCTGTGGACCACAAGTATATTCGATGGCAAACGTTCCATTTATTTCGCATCTTTTTCAGCATTCATTTTTCACTGTTGAATTTGAATCTGGTCGGTACCGCAATCGCCATTCAATAATATCAAATTCAAATTTCCAATTTCAACATGTGACTTTGCGATTAATTCCTCTTGATCTATGATCAATTCGTTCCGTATTTTGTGTGATGATAATAATAGAATTTTGTTATTGAAATTGTCTGATTTTCGAATTGATGAAACAGCAGATTCTCCCGAGCAGATTTTGAAATCTTCTGTTCGAAAATAGACCTAAGATATAGTTTCATTCATCTCAATGTGCTGTTATGATAAATGAATTTTAATGAGTGTACCTCACAAATTCTGCTTGTCTTCAAATTGATTCTCCGTCCAGGCCGGTTCAGATATTCCTTCCATGAGCAAGTGGTTGATATTCGTTTTGTTAAATTCAATGAATGATGTCAATTGATACGTAATGAATACATTACCAACGAAGAACTTGGCTTTACTCGACTCAAAAACTAGACATATCATATTCGAGACGTGACTTTCCCGAGAGTAATCTTTTTCATCGATAAGATATAACTATATAAATGCAGACTTCATAAGAATAGCTGAAAGTTTCAGAGACGCAGACTGGGACGAAGTTATAACGGAGAAATCGGATGTAAACCTAGCTTTAGACGAACTTTACTCTATATGGAACAAAATTATCGACGATTGTGTGCCTTAATTCGTTGCTTATAATAGTTGTAATAGATATTCCGTATGGTTCACGAAGGAGATAAAAGTATTGCTAGAGGGAAGAGAGAAGACTGAGAAGACTGCGGTTGATATCTGAAGGATAAAGTTACAGATATAAGGATTAACGGAAAAGGGCAGAAACATTAATTAAGGCGGAAGAATGCAAATTCATGAAAAAACTTGAACTGAATGTAACTAAGGAGATACTGTTTACATGGATTTTCGCAAGGCGTTTGATACGGTCGATCATGATGTACTATTGAGAAAGTTGAGTACATTTGGACTGTCAGATAACCTACTCAAATCTCTGGTAAAAGTCCATGTTTGCTCAAAGTGGAGTAAAATTTTCAAAAGGAGGAAGAAAAGCACAAAGTCATCTCCACAACTTCAAGGACATGTGTCGTTGAATAACTACATCATTATTGAAGTTGAGCTTTTCTTCCTGCTTTTACCTACTCAAGTTATTTAAACATGACTTACAGAATTGATTTATTATAGTGAGTCACAATGGAAATACTGCTAGTAAATTTGAAGCGAACTCTGGTGTTCCGAAAGGTTCAAATTTGGGGCAACTCTTATTTATACTTTTCATTAGGGACTTGTCATTAGTATTGAAACACTCAAGCCTATGTCTATTATTTGCAGATGATTTGAAAGTTTTCAAGACCGTACAGACGGTGTGAGATCGTGTTTCTTTACAGAGAGACACAAACAGTATTTCCGAATGGAGCAATATGAATAAATTATATTTCAACGTTGAAAAATCGGTATCGGTGACTCGCATGAGAGATCCTATTAATTTTGAGTATATGATCGACAATGAATCTTAACAACGCTATTTTGGAGTACAACATCTAGGTATCACTCACGATCATTCAATATCTTTCAGTAGGTTCATTCAGAATATAGCAGAGTCTGCAAATTGATTGTTGAGGTTTATAATTAAACAGGCCACTTACTTTACTTATGTAGAAACCCTCAGAAATATTTTTTATAGTCTGGTAAGACATAAACTAGAATTAGGTTTTCATATATATGAATGAATACCAGTCTAAATTATCTATGTTAGAAAAAAATCTGGAATGAATTTTTGAGATACCTCGATTATGAAAAATATCACGGATATCCAAATTATAGTACGGTGAGAACTCTTCAACTCAGAAATGAGTATAAAATGTTATCCTCAAGAAACGAAGACTTGGGATGTTGATTTTTTGTTCAAGGTTATGAATAATAACATCAATTTCCCAGAGATTTCATCCCAAATACGCCACAAAGTTCCAGCGAGGAGAACACGCACTGATGTTATGTTCAATAATACGTTATTTCCAACAACTGCTCGAGCTCCCCTTGCATCCATGTCAGTGAAATGTGCGACCGCCTTTCGGGGCGGTCATGAAGCTCTGATGAGTAGAAGGGTCGCGGCGGTGAGAACAGAAGGACTGGCCGTAAGGCCGTCTGGATCCGTCGTCGGTGCAGAACTTGGTGGTAGTAGCAAATACTCCAGCGAGGCCCTGGAGTACTGAAGTGGAGAAGGGTTTCGTGTGAACAGCCGTTGCACACGAGTCAGTCGATCCTAAGCCCTAGGCGAAATCCGATATTGATGTGTAGTTTTACGAATGTGTTATATTGTTTATACGTTTGAACTTCGAACACACCCGTCAGGCAAAAGAGAATCCGGTTCCTATTTCGGAACCCGGTAGCGGAACCGTCTAAAAGTCGGCCCCTGCAAGAAAGTTCGTCGGGGCTATCCGAAAGGACCCGGAGACGCCCTCGAGAGATCCAGGAAGAGTTTTCTTTTCTGCATAAGCGTTCGAGTTCCATGGAATCCTCTAGCAGGAAGATATGTTTTGGAACGCGAAGGGCACCGCAGTTGCAGTGGTGTCCGGATCTTCCCCTCGGACCTTGAAAATCTGGGAAAGGGCCACGTGAAGGCGTCGCGCCGGTTCGTACCCATATCTGCAGCAGGTCTCCAAGGTGAGGAGCCTTCAGTCAATAGAATAATGTAGGTTAGGGAAGTCGGCAAAATGGATCCGTAACGGCGGCGTGGATACGAGTTCGGTCCCGTGCATTGGCCTCCCGTGGAACCTACTTGCTGCAAGGCCCCGATGCGCTCGCAAGGGCGTCCGGGTGTCCTCTTCGGCCGCCATTCAACGGTCAGCTCAGAACTGGCAAGGACCGCAGGAATCCGACTGTCTAATTGATACAAAGCATTGCGATGGCCCCAGCGGGTGGTGACGCAATGTGATATCTGCCTAGTGCTCTGAATGTCAACGTGAAGAAATTCAAGCAAGCGCGAGTAAACGGCGGGAGTAACTATGACTCTCTTGAGAGATTGAAAGCACAACGTGCTGGAGTGTTAGCTGAAAGGGGTCGTCTTGCGGCTCAGGGTCCCTAATCTATCACTGGGCGCGAGCACTGCACTTTCCAAAACACTTGTTTTAAGTGCGGTGCTCTCATGATACTCGGCAGCCGCTCTTACGAACAGCCAAGGCTGGTCGCAAGTGCAGATGTCTATGCTACCGACCTCCACGTTGGTACCGCTGGATAACCCCATCACTAGTTGCAGTACTGCGGCTGCGATGGGAAACTGACTGGTAGCATCCTCACGCGCCTGACCCCGGACGCGTAGGGTTATACTCTTATGGCAAGAGCAGGGGAAAGCCGGCCATGGGCCTAGCAAGCCCTTGGTCGAATACAAATCATGCTAACAACTTAGATGGCGAAGCCTTGGATGGGGCAGAGGGAGCCCCCCCTCCTGCCCCATCACAATTGGGGGCCGTTGTTGACGACCATGCTATGGATGCGGACCAGGTGATATGGGTGCCTTTCGAAGCTTTCTCCTGTCAGCGGTGTCTCCAGCAGACTGTCAGGAACTTTCAAATGCTTTCGCTTAGCGAAACAAAAGTCCACCTGAGAAAAGAGCACCCAAAGGTCAAGGTGGACTACGCCTGCAGGTTATGCAGGCGCGTGCGAGGCAAGCAGAGGGCGGTAGCAGCGTACGCAAGAAAGTGTCGTGGGAAACAAGCCTAAATGCAGTACAGCCATGTGTAGAATGCGGGATCAGTTTTGAGACCCAAAGGGGCAATCTCCACACATGACCGCCTGAAACACCCTGAGCGGCGGAATGCGGCCAGAGCAGAGGCTGCTCAGTAGCCAGCAAGGCCACGCGCTCCAAGGGCAGATACTGCTTTCAGCCTGAACGAAGTACAGGTCATTTGGAGTGCGAGGTCACATATTTTGGCCACAGACACGTCGCCAGAATGATGGGGCCCCACCAGTCCGGAAAGACAAACCGTCAAATACGTGATGGGAGACAACTTGCCTCTTACAAGGCAGCCAGGGATGAGTATATAGCGGCTCATCTCGGAACCGTCGGTGGGGCTCCAGAGCCTGCTGAGCAGGCGCAAGAGGACGAGAGCCAGGCTAGAGTGCCTCAGAAATCAGAAATCATTTATTTATCACAAAAGAATACACATCGTGTGGTGAAGACCACAGAATGCATAAACTTATCGGACTAGTCAGGAAACGAGAAAATACAAAAACTAAGTGTAATACATAGAGATACGATAGACTGAATAAAAAAAATTTTTGAAATGGAATAAACATAAACACTTGGACAACTCATCGATTCAAAATTCGAATGACTATAATTTCAAATTATATACATGAAAAATACAATATCATTCAAGTGTAGTACATAAATACAAGAATGTATATGAAATAAAACAGATAAAACAGATAGGGACAACATATCTATTGAAATGAATTCAAAATATATTCAGGAGCCCAGAAACTCTTCAACGCTATAGAAAGCTTTATCACCCAGAAATGTTGATATCCTAATTTTAATTGTTGACATGCTACCGCTCATGTCTATTAGATTTTTCATCTTATTGAAACATTTGATACCTACATATTTTGGGGAATTTTGTCCAATCAGCAGACGGAAAAAGGGCAGATGAATGTTTTTCTTATTCCTTGTTTCATATCCATGTATCTGGTCATTTTTCATAAATTTATTTTCATTGTCTTTCATGAAAATTATTAGGTTAAAGATACAAAGGCAAGGTAGCGTTAATATTTTTAATTTTCTGAATAATGGTTCACAAGATTCTGAAGGGTGAGTTTTGTTCATATTTCTGATAATTTTTTTGGGACCTGAATGCCTCTAAAAAGTAAGTCGAGGATCCCCAGAATATTAGGCCGTATTGCAGAGCTGACTGTGCCAATCCGAAGTAGAGAATCCTCAGTAGGTACCTCTGCTGACACTGTATCCCCCATGTTCCTAATTATATATGGGATTGCACTAAGTTTTGAGCACAGGGTGAAAGTTTTTTATCAAGTACAATACCTAAGAATTTTATATTCTCTTTGCTTTCTATTGATTTTCCATTTACTGTGAGGTAGAGATCGTTATCAGGATTCAGATTTTTTGGTAAGAATCGGATGTGATAAATTTTAGCGGTATTAAGTGCAAGGCCATTTTTGCTGCAATAGTCCTCAAGTTCCTTTGATGCTTTAGTTCCATTATTTACTAGTTGTTCATTATTTGTATGAGACATTGAAATATTTGTATCGACTGCATAGAGAATGATCTGGTCCGCTGTAACACAGGTTTGTTTTATGTCACTCGTATAGATTATGAAGAAGAGGGGCCCTAAGAGAACCTTGAGGTACTCCTCCATGGAAACTTTCCCTTGTATTGGATTTCATAGTATCTAGGACTACAGTTTGTTTTCGATTAGCTGAGTAAGAAGTTACCCAAGCCAGAGCAACACCACGGACTCCCATAGCATCTGATTTGAGTGTTAACAACTTGTGATCTATAGTATCGAATGCACGGCTCAGATCATAGAACAGGCCCATGACATTTCTCCTATCGTTCAGTGCCCTGTAGATGAATTTCAAGCAATCATGAATTGCAGTATTGGTTGATTTTTTTTTCGAAATCTATTTTGAATAGGTGGTATCAGTTGGAAGTTCTCCATGAGAGTTGTTAATCGTTTTGAGTATGATTCCTCAAAAACTTTAGCGATTTGATTTTGTACGCGAATAGATCTATAACTTTTCATGTCGTTTATGGGACCTTTGTTTTTATAAACTGGAATGCATTTAGACTCTTTGATATCGAGGAATTTTCCTGATGTGAAAGAATCATTTGAGAGTACACTTAATACTTTGGCAATGAGTGTACTAGCAGCCTTCAGCACCTTACCATGTATGCCATCCATGCCTGCAGCAGGTTAAGACGTTGTTTTAGAAATGATTTCGAGAACTTCTTCAGAGATCGAGGTGATGGAACGAGCTGCATAGTCCGTGACAATGGAGGAGGAGTGCAGGGACGGCGCAGAAACCAGGCAGGAGGTAGAGGTAGAGGCCAGCGTCGGCGATACCTCTACGCTCGGACCCAAGAGTTATATCATAAAAATCCTGCCCTGGTTGCAAAGCACGTCCGCAATAGCGTGGACTGGAAGGAGCAAGGAGGTGTCACCTGGCCAGACGCGGACGTGCGAGAGCTGTACAACAGGCTGTGAGGGCACAGACCTGAAGTACAGCTGCCAGACTTAGGTCATAAAGAATCAGAGAAGGATTCGGAGACGGTCTCCTCTGAAATTTAAATGAAAGATATAATCGCTCGTGTCGAGCGAATTAACCGGTTTGCCTCGACAATATCATACTAAGCGAGATCAAACGGCCAGCAGTTTACGAGGTGCTCCACTCATTTCTAAATCTGACCATGGTGTGCAACAAGCTACCCATGGAGTGGAGGAAAAATTGGACGACTCTAATCCCGAAAGAGGGAGAGGATGGCAGACGGGTTGAGAATTATCGTCCGCTGAACATCTCCTCACTTCTGAGTCGAGTGTACTTCGGTATACTAGACCAAAAGATTCGGGCTTGGGTCTCATTCTCACCTCGGCAGAAAGGCTTCGTAAGCGAAGCCGGCTGCTTCAACAATATCCACATCCTAGACGAGCTGCTACGGCATGCGAAAGACAACCAGGGCATGGTGGTAACGATGCTTGATGTGGCAAAGGCGTTCGATACCGTCCCACACCAGCTGCTTGAGCAGTCGTTGCTGAAGAAAGGACTTTCTAATCCAGTGGTGCGGACTGTGGAAGATGCGTACCAGGGTGTGGATACCACCAAAGGTGGAAAAGATAAACGCTTCCAGCGCGGGGTCAAGCAAGGTGACCCCATGAGCCCATTTCTATTCAACGCGGTCCTAGAGCCACTGATAGAGGCGCTGAAAAGCAATCCTGGGTATGACAAACAGGGAAACAAACATTTCCAGCCTGGCCTTCGCAGATGACAGGACAGGGAACAGCTGAAAAAAACGGAAGCGTACTTGGGGGCACTGGGGATGAGACTGTCACTCAGCAAGTGCGCTACGTTCCAAATTTGCAGAACAAGAGACTCCTGGTTCTTAGCTGACCCAGGACTCGCATTCGATAGTGGTGAAGGGGTGCGAGTTATGGGGCCTGGCGATCACCTTTTCTACCTCGGTGTGAAGATATCACCATGGCACGGGATATCCTTGGAGGGATTAAGAGCCGACCTTCCTGCAACACTCAGCCGAGTCAAACGGCTGCAGTTTAAACCGCACCAGAAGGTAGACTCAATCAACACCTACCTAGTTTCACACTACATGTATAAAATAGCGATGGGTTTACCGTCGCTTAACACAACCCGCGAACTAGACCAGGAGCTATATGTAGTGATGAAGGGAATCTTCCATTTACCGCAATCAACAACCAACGGGTTGTTGTATAGCGCAAAGTGAGTCAGGGGACTAGGGATTCCGAGGTTAGAATGGCTGCTAACCTCATCAGCCCTAAAAGCCGGGTGCACATTTTTTGCAAAACCTCGACCTGGCAATGCAAGTTTCGGCACCTGGGACTAGGTTGGAAGTAAGTCTCAGGCGCCTAGCCCACACTGCCAGAATCAATTGGCCTGCCAATGAGCAAGACCCCAAAAACTACGTCAATTCAAAGAGACGTGCAGAGCTTGCAAGATGGTCCAGTCTAAGTTCTCCTGGCAAGTCGGTCGCGGCCTTCACCGACAACACTACTGCCAACGCATGGCTTGCGAATCCTATGATGCTCAAGCCATGTAGAATGATCACCGCCCTCCGAATGAGGACTAATTCATGCGCTAATAGGGTGGCGATGATTCGCGCTGGACCAGTACCGGACCTAAAATGTAGGCAATGCGGCACTCAGCTGGAGACTTTGGGCCACATCTTGGCCAGTGTAGGTACACAAAGGTCTCTAGGATCCGAAAGCACAATGGGATTTGCGACCTCATCGTGACAGAAACTCAAAAGCAAGGTCGAGAGGTAACGCAGTAACGGTGGAACCACCGACATTCGTGGCTCCCCGTAGCGTTAATTTCAAATCTGACCTGGTAATTCAACGCCAGGGAAGGGTCCTCGTGGTCGACGTCACAGTCCGCCATGAGGATGAAAATAATTTCGCAATGGGGCACAATGACAAATTGCATGAATATAGCCAACTGCTACCTCAATTCCGGCAGAGTTTTGTTGTGACCGATGCCGAAGTCCTACCCATCGTGGTAGGAACGAGAGGTGCGATGCCCAGGAGGACTATCGAGGGATTGTCCAAATTGGGCATCACGAACGAAAGGGGTACATAAGACTATTAGCCTTATTGCCCTTCGTAGCTCCATTAAGATCTCTCAAGATTTCATGGACTACAATGCGCCTCTCCGCCGACCTGATCGGCAGCCCCCGTGGGGAGTGACACCACTCACGGGGGCTAGAAAACTCTTGGTCAAACTAGCTGCTCGTCGCTGATATTTGTGTGTCTGTCTGTTATGTATTGTCCTCAGGAAGTACCTAACCAAGTCTAGTCAAAATCTAGTCAATAACGTTTTCTTCCTTTCACACTTACTTATTTATTTATTTCATACATACACTCCATTTATTTAGTATCTGTTTGTATTGTTTATACAACGTGCGGTTTAAGTGGAGTGTGACTTTAGTGACAAGCATGCGAGTCGTTGGGCCTTTCCATGGATGTGCTACGGCGGCGGGCAGGGTTTTTGGACATGCTTTTCGATCAAACCTTGGCAGCCGCTCCCACGAAGCTTCCCTGGAAACCGGAGCCCTCAGTGGGGGGCGACGAGCTAACAGCTGTTTCCTAGCAATAGGACCCGTTATGACTAATTTATTCCTGCCGTAAAATGGGTCTTGGCAGATTACTGGTTTTCACTCAGGCCAAGAGTATTAGATTGTGTGGTAAGAGGAGGGTACGGCAAAAATATACCAGGGAGTTTCCCAATATGTTATCGTGAGCCTACAGTCCCAATGATATTCATGTGAACAACCGATCGCGGTACAAATAGAAAAGTCCTTGGATGAATCGAATATCCAAGCAGAATCAGCCAGATGCCTGGTCATCTAATAAGTGACGCGCATGAATGGATTAACGGGATTCCCACTGTCCCTACCCACTATCTAGCGAAACCACTGCCAAGGGAACGGGCTTGGAAAAATCAGCGGGTAAAGAAGACCCTGTTGAGCTTGACTCTAGTCTGGCACTGTAAGGTGACATGAGAGGTGTAGCATAAGTGGGATGGCAACATCGCCAGTGAAACACCACTACTTTCATAGTTTCTTTACTCACTAGGTAAGGCGAAACGCGTGCGTCGTTTGCTCACGAGGCGGCGACTGTTACGGTATTCTTGAGCCAAGAGCACGGAGTGGCGTTTCGTCGCGTCGCGCCGGCGCTGGTTTCGTGAGACCGGTTCGCGCCGATCGTGCGGCCTTTGTCTGTGTGCTTCGTGTCATGCGTCAATTCACCTCCAGCCTGATTCGATTCGAGGACAATGCCAGGTGGAGAGTTTGACTGTGGCGGTACATCTGTCGAAGAATAACGCAGATGTCCTAAGGCTAGCTCAGCGAGGACAGAAACCTCGCGTAGAGCAAATGGGCAAAAGACTAGCGAATCATTTCAATGCCATCATAGACTTCGACTGGATCAGCTCACAATATGTTTTCCGTAGTGTTCAGAAGAATCATTGATTTATCATTTCAGATCAAACAGTTAATCAGTCCTCATCAGTCGTCCTATGGTATTTGGTAAAATATCTTTACTGTCTCACATATATGTAATAATTATTGACATATCTCATAATGTTCATATCATCAATGTAATTGAATCCTATTGGTTTGTATGGATACAGATAAATGAATAAAGAATTGAAAAATGAATAAATAAATTGGTAGTGGCACCAATCGTCTATTAGATACCATCACTGTTTGATCATTATTTCGTCTGATGAAAGAATATTGGGGATTACTTTCGACGAGTTCTACTTTCTTGTTTATTGAATCTGTCTCAGAATGGCGAACTATCTTTTTCATCAGTACAGGTCCCAGTGTCAACCAGGTAGGTAATGGGTATTCATTAGGGAATCTCCGGGCATAAGTGAAAAGCCGCTCGTGTGGTGTAGTATTAATCAAGGTGCACAAAAGTGAGCGTACACAGTGCAGCGCACCCTTCATCACTACTTTCAAGTTTTCTTCAGGCAGATTCTTAGACCGGAGACTAAGTTGTATGGTACGCCAGAGAGTTTTGTTTGAACGTTCCACTTGGCCGTTTTCGTGTGGATTGTAGGGATTCGTCCTAGAAGAACCTATGTTCGAGTTCTTTGAGACGGTTTTGACCTCTTCAGACATAAATGAAGAGCCTCTATCACTTTGTATATGTATATAACGGTTGCCCAAAAGTGGAAAAAAGATCTTTCAGGCAGTTAATAACGGTGGTCGAAGTCATATCCTTACAGGCGTACGCAAACGGGAACCGGGAGTACTCATCAAAGATTGTTATTATAAATCTATTTTCTGTATTGGATGGTTGGGATCCTCAAAAATCTATATTCATACGTTCAAAACGCGAAGTGGCTTTTATCAAGTGACCCTTAATTCTCATGAACCGTGACTTTATTTTAGCGCATATTCGACATTGAGCCGTCATTTCCTTAACGTCGTTTGCTGAGTAAAGAAGATTTTTGAACCGTATCCAGTGAAACATCTTGGTGACGCCCGGATGACAAATTGTTCACTTGACTCATTATATTCGTATTCATGTAGCTGCATAATCGAGATAAGGCGTCAGCAGCAGTGTTTTTTTCGCCCGGTCGTTTTAATAGCATGATGGTTCAAATCGGAAGCGTAATATCTTCTCGTTTTTGATTTTATTATTATGATTTTGGTTCGACAAGTACACTACTGAATGTTGATTTGTTATCAGAAGGAAATGTTTTCCTATCAAGAATTGCCTCTATTTCTTTGAGCTGTCTTCGATGGCACAAGCCTGTTTTGCTATCGATGATTGTTTCTGTTCTGAGCATTATAGCGTATGAGAAACAAAACTACGGGACTACTTTTCTGAGAGAGTATAGTTGATATTGCTACCTCTGAAATCTCAACCGTGAGTATTTCATCATCATCAATTGCTTCGAGTATGGTTCTTTTCATATCAGATATCATTTCTCCAAATCATCTCAGGGCGTTGGTCGACAATGGGAATGTAGTAATGCAAGTAAGCGGTTTCATCTTATCCGAAAATCTCTCTACTCGTTTTGCATAGTGAGCAAACATCCCCAAAGCTCGTTTCAGCTCGCCTGTGTTACTTGAAACTGAAAGTTCTTGCAAAGATTCCAATCTCTTACTGTCAAGCATAATGGTATTTTTTTCTATTGTATACCCAAGGAGCTTGATCTTGTCCTTTCCTAAAACGCACTTTTGTCCGTTGATAGTAAGATTGTATTTTTTTGCTGCAGCTATAAATGCTTTTTCATAACACTTATGTTCTATTTTGAGTCATTCATTGTTAGTTTTAGTTGATTGAATTGATACGTAATGAACAAATTACCAACAAAGATTTTGGCTTTGATCAACTAAAAACCTGGACATATTATATTCAAGACGTGACATTGTCAACTGTGTAAGAACTCTATTAAGGTCTAACAAGACAGTACAGGAAGATTCATATCATCAATTTCCTTGACCAATCTATCTGCAGTATTTCGAACGTACGAACACGAACGAGATAATCGAGTTGCAGGAGGATTCTGTTTCACGATCGCCAATTGTCCCGGACTCGCTCGATGGTCGAGAGAGGTCTCGTCTGAAGTAGAAAATAAAATTGCGTCGACGTTGTTTTGTTTTCTTGTGTTATTGTTCCTTGACCAGCAAGTTGAGCTAGTGCCTTGAAAATTGAGATATCTGACTTTCAGAAATTCGATGGTTACGTGAAATACTCTATTTTGGTGGGAAGAATAATATGTTCAATGCATGTTGGCCGGCAAGGTAGATGGTGTTCGTTTACATTCATCAGCAATTTGAGGTAGGTAATTGTATTAATAGGTATCAGCCAACTCAGAATGATGAAGAGATTTTGGGACATAATTATTCGAGTACTGTTTTATGGCATTGTTCCAAATCACGAATATAAAATCCTCGATAATCCTCGATAAAATTCATGGGCAGCAGTGCGTTAAAGAGATCGAATAATTCAGCAACTATCTCAAACGAGTTTGGAGTTCAAGTATTACATTACTATGGCCGAAAATAGAATATGAAAGTAGCCGACTCAACCTCTGAGGACATTATACTGTATAGGTTGGTGAATGTTAACTTTTTTTATGTATTTTCTCTTCATTAACGTATTAATTATCAGTCTGTTATCTGATGTTATCATTTTTTATTCATGTTCACAGAAGTATAATAGCTATCTTGCAATTATATAGGTGAGACGTAAATGTTATCTAGATTCTGACGTTACAGTGACTAATGAGTGATGTTATCATTTTTTATTCATTTTCACAGAAGTATAATAATTATCTTGCAATTATATAGGTGAGACGTAAATGTTATCTAGATTCTGACGCTACTTACTATTTTCAAAATCGAAGAACCATTCGCATCTTGAAACATAGGCGCATCGACATTATTTCGAGTATTTTTTTGATAAACGTTATAGTTACTGAGATAATGCGAGGTATATGAAAAGCAATTTAACGAAAATTTACAAGTTTCGAGTTATAGCCGTTTGAAATATGATTTTCTCATATATCGTAATGTAATTGGTGAATTTCAAAATTTTCTATAAGATGTTCTACTAGTCACACGAAATCAAGATTCGACAGGGTGGAAGTTCTGGAACCCATCAATATTTTCCAGGAATAAAAAAAAAATCCATATTTTTATATAAATTACCCCCTGCCCCCCAAACGCACAGGACGATTTTTTGACGACAAGTGGATCCATGATCTGGAGATGGTAGGTAACAATTCTAGCCATGTCACAGCTTTTTACCTCCGATTTCCCACCAACTTTTGATCTAAGCGACTTACGGTTCGTTTGGCACTCTACTATAATAAGTTTTGGTGACCCCATATCATTTCAATTGGGTAAAAAATATAGTGGAAGTATCTGATGACCATACTGTTATGCAAGTGTGTCTGCTATATAAACAGGGGGTGGCTTTTCAATAGGTATCGAATAATAGTTTATAAAGCTCTATAGAATGGTCTGATATTTTGAATAACATTGGCCCTAACTGGATGGAAATCTAGAGTGATTGACAAACTTCACAAAAGACTGAATCTACACAAAATTCAATGAAACACACATATCACTAACAGAGTAGTTTCTGTGTTAGCGAAAATGCCATATATTATGTATTTCATTGAATTTTGAATAATTCAAATCATCTGTGAAAATTTTTCATGAATTACTCCAGTAACTATACCCTACAATTTGACCAAATTGAGTGGCTTCAACAT